TTTTTTTTTTTTTTTTTTTTGGAGAGGTTTTTCACTATAGGGCGCGTGTGCTCGCCTGACAGAGAAAGACATAGAGACAGAAAGCGAGAAATCACCTCCCAGTGGGGATGGTCACGCCGCAATCCCTTCTCCTCCATTCTCCTCTCGGGATCTTGGGCACGCACACACACGCGCCCGGCGTGAGTTTTAAGCCACCGGGTTTGGCACGCGAATGGCGGTCGACTACGTGGGAGTCCAGCGACATAGCCATTACGCTAACTGCTGGTTCCCCCGACCCAATTTTTCAGTTATCCTTTTTTTTTAAATTTTTTCTCTCTGAAATCAAGGGATTATCATTTGGTAATTCCCTTTAAAATATAGCAGGGTAGTGAAATCGTACCCTGAATTGTTCTTTTGTTAACACATTGCCTTTGCCTAATTCAGAAACTTCATTTATTTTATATTACTCTTTAACTCAGTTGACTCTTTTTTGAAGTTAAACTTTTTTTCTTACATTTGCCAGAGGATGTGTGTGCTTGCACGAGACAGGGAAAGGGAGGAAGCAGTGCTCACAGGGGCGTGGTCATGCCACAAGCCCTGCTCCTCCATTTTTATATCCTTTTGGGATTTGGAGCATGCACACAGATGTGCCTGGTGTGTTTTCTTAGCTGCTGGGTCCAGGATTTGAATCGTGTAATTGTCCATGTGGGTTTCAGCTCCTTTAACCAGTAGGTCATGGGGCCAGCCCAACTTTTTTTGTTCTAATTTCTGGTTTGCATATGATTGTTATACATTTTTGTATACTATGTTTTTTCCAGGTTTATATGCAGTGTGTAATAAATCAAGGATATAGACATATCCTTTAATTAAGAAAAGAAATAGAATTTTAAATATAGAAATATAACCATTTGAGAGGAATGACTAGTGGGGGGAGTCAGCATTCTGGGCATTTTGACATGAAATGTTATGTGCATATACCAGAAAGATCTGCCTTCAACCTGTACTTAGGCAAGACAGTAGCACTTGATGATAGCTTCCGTAACTTCTGTGTTTGTAAAGAAACAATATCAGTTTTGGAGAACCATTCAGTGCCATTCAAAACTCTCATAAAGTATGAAGTATGCTTTGGAAGAGAGCTTTGAGTAATACGACTGTTATATAAACAGAATAGACAAGCCCACTTGAACAGATTTTTCAAGGACAAAAAAAAAAGATTCTGAGACTTATGAGTGGTAAAGAGGATTATTTTCTGCTTCAGCAGAAGAGAGTTTATTTTGTATTTTTCAGCTCCAAGCAAATAGTCCCCTTAACTTTAAAGGCCCTAAAGAATAGTAGTAACAGTAATATTTTGTTGTTTAAGTTTGAGGGTTGCAAGAATGGGCAGGTCTGGCATTTTCAAGTAGGCCTTCTGTCTGCCTACAAAGAAGTATTAACAGTAAGAGATACACTTGTTAACACATTGCTTATTAAGTGGTATTGAGTAGGTAAGATCTATTTCCTGATAAACTATACTCAAGTTATTTGCTAATTACTGAAGAAACTTTTAATGACACCTAAAACCACTACTGTATGGTTTAGGCAGAAGAGGTTTTCTTCAGTGTGATGTACTAATAATAATAGCAAAAATCCATATCAGGCTTACTGTGTGCCCAGTAAGCACATAGTAACCAGTGACTTCTCAGCATCCCCACAAGGCAGGTTCATTTGTTACCTGTTTTCCCAGGAGGAAACGTAGCCAGGGTTAAATACCTTGCCCAGGTCATACTGTTATTAAATTAGTGATGCCTGGACGTTAACCTGCACAGACTGCCCCCTAGTGTCCGGCTCCCTACCCTGGTTCCTGAGCAGGGATTTTCTCTCTGTGTCAGGCATCACTGAGCATTAGGAGCGGAGGCGTGCACGGTTCCTGTCCTCTCCAGGTGTGTGTGGTTCCTAGTGTACAAAGCTGGGCATGTGTCCAGGTCCGTAGCACAGAACTGAGAAGCATATCTATGGATGGGGGCACTGGAACGTTCTGCCATTGTGAATTAGGAAAACACACACACTAGTGATGTATTCTAATTTGACAGCAAACATGTTGTCAGAGTTTTGGGCAAAGTTGGAGCTGAGACTTGCATCTCCTGCCTCAGGACTGTTGCCCATGTGTGTCGGGTGCTTCTCTTCATCCATCAGTGTGCCTTGTTCATTGTCCTCCCCTTCCCCCTTTGTTTAAATTAAATCGGAGAACCCAACCATTTACTGACATGTGATGAACATTAAAAAAAAAAACAAAAAACCATGAGATAGAGAAAACAGACCATATAAGGATAAATAAGGACAAGTGCTGTTTAGTGAGATTTTTCTGTCCTGAGTGTGGGGTGCTCTATAAACTATTTCTCAGCAATGGATGATAATGTTTGGAGTCCATTGTTCTCGGTGCACTGGATGGAAGTGGGGTCTCCAGATTAAAAGGAGGCTTTACCATAAGATTATACAACCATTGTCCTTTTAAAGCTGTAAAGTGTTTTTATTCCTTCCTTGATGAAAAAGGTGTTGTTTATATGAACCTAGAAAAAAAGTAACCCTCCCCCCCACAGTTTGTGTAGGTGATAAATTAATTTCTGAGTTGTGTCACATTTTGCTCCATGAGAAGAGAGAGTGTACTATCCACGTCTCTCTGTAGCTCTAGGACCTGACCTTATTTATTTATTTTTTTTAGATTACCAAAGGGTACACGTGCTTGCCAGATAGACAAACAGGGAGAGGGAGAAAGCATCCCACAGCAGGCCGTAGTCATGTTGTAATCCTTTCTCTCCCATTTCTCCATCCTCTTGGGATTTGGGGCACGCCCAGTGTGTTTTTTTATTTAAGCCGCTGGGGCCAGGATTCAAGCCAGTCAGCCATGTGGGATCCAGTGCTCTTACCCAGCAGGCCACAGGACTGGGTCAGGCCTGACTCTTAATACTAAATATTGGCGGTATGACCAACATTTTGGTGAGTTATTTTTCTGTAAGAAGTTAGGAAACACCATCTATGACTGAGTGTGAGATCCTTAGAGGGCTTCCCTCCGGGGGTCCCCTTTACAGAGCTGTGAGAAGACCGGGAATTGAAGTCTATCTTATCTGGAGGGTGTGGTTCAACTTTGGGCAGCCAGAAGGTTTTGGTCCTCTGTGGGACCCCAGTGAGGCCATGTAAGTTCTCTGCCCTGTTTTTAGAGCTATGCGACAATGAGTGACAATGGCGGGTCCTGGTCCCAGTTGTGGATGTGAAGCACTCAGTAAATGCTGACAGAGTCTCCTGTCACTGGGCACCAGGAACTAGTCCGCGGCTGCGCGTATGGTTACTCCTCACACTGCTCCATGAAGTTGGCGCTGCTACGGTCTCTACCCTGGAGATGAGGAAGCTGGAGGCACAGAGAACTTAGGAAGTTAGCTCTCAGTCGTAATTGCCGCGAGTGAGGCTGGCCATATAAAGCTCAGTCCTTACAAATCTTATAATCTAATGGAGAGGACCAGCAATAAACAAGTGAAAAATACTGATTTTAAGTAGGGATAAATGATGTGAAGAAAATAATGTGTCACGAAAAGCAGTAGTGGGAGGAAGGGGACAGTGTGTCCTTTTAGATGGAATAATCAAAGCAAGCCTTGATAACGGATAAATTTGAACAGAGATCTGAGTGGAGCGAAGGAATCTGCTCTGGATAAGCTGGAGGAAGAGGCAGAGGAGAAAGGTGGCAGTGGCCGGGGCCAGAGCCGGTACAGAGCTAGGCTTGTTCAGGGGACGTTGAGGCCAGTGTAACTTGAGTGAAGTGAGCAAGAGGAGGGTAGCGGTTGGGGTCAGATGGGGTACAGGGCCAGCTCAGGTGCGGCCTAGCTTGGGCTGTGTTCTGATGGTTTTCTACATACCCAAAGGTCTTTTGCAAGGCAGAGACCACTACGGTCCTTTTCCTACCTTAAAGTCCTGTGTCTTTAGTGATGTCATCTCAAGCTGTGCACATCAGTGTTTTAGCAGCTGTGTGCACCCGATTTGCACCTTCAGATACCTTCAGGGACAAAGGCCCTGCTGATATTTTTAAACAAGGCTGCCAGCTACAGCCGTAAAAGCGCGGCTGGGCCTGTCTGCTTCCCTGCGCAGTTGAAGCTATAGTGGGCATGGACTGTGTTTGCCAATATGTGCTGTGCGTTTGGAAAATGTTAATCCCTGCATTTTATGTTTTCTGACACAATTGAAAACTTTCATCCTGTAAACCTTTTTCTTTTTTTCTAATTTGCTGAAATACTCATGCTTCCCTGTAGACAGTATGACAACTTGGGATAGGATAAAGTATTTGATAACTGTGTGAGTTGTGGAACATGCCCCCTTTTGTTAATAGAGGCATAACTGTAACCAAAGAAATTAATTTCTTCTCTAGCAGACACTGACATTTCTGTTTAAGAATGAGTGCTAGAGAAAAAGGAACTATGAAAATGACCATGTATCTTGCATACATTAAGATTCTCTCTGTAATAGCTCGAAACTGATCTATGACCAAAATTAAAACCATATAAACATCATAAATCTCAACTAGTACTGTGTTTGCTTCTAATTCTTTTTGGAATAAGACTTCAAATGCTTTCCAGAATGATGTGAGTTACAAATAAATAGAAAAAGAGTTATCCTGTCTTCCATTTATTTTATTTGTACATAACCATTTCAAGAAAGAAAAAAAAAGACTTTAAAAATACATTTCTGTCTCAGAAATGGATCCTTTTCTGCACAATCATTGAAGAAAAAAATCATGCAAACTGAAAACTCTGGTTTTTTTGTAGTGACTGAGTGGAAGATGCACTTATCCCAATAGAATATAGAAGAAGCTCTGATTTGACATTTATTGCACAAAAGAGAACTGAAAACTTCACTTGTTTGATGCAAAGAAGCACAAAACAAGGTTTGCAAACCCTTGAGAAGGGCCTGTAGGAAACAAACACGTCATCGGAATCTGCTAAACACTACTTACTGACATGCCCCGCCCGCCCACATCAGTTTTGTTACTGTACTTTCTTACTTGCTTGGCAATAAGTAAATGGGTAATCATTTAAAATCAACATTATTAGTTGGTATTTTTCCAGTGAATGAAACAGCACATCATCTTATGCCTTTGAATTACTTTTAGTCGTTGGTAATTTATGCTGCCGAGATGCACCACTGTGTGGAGAGGAGACTGGGGTATGCGATTTATTGATTTGTTCTCAGCCGTTGTGGCAATACTGTAAGTCGCCAGTTGCCTAAAAATAAGTAGAGAACGTTCCTGATGACCCACCTGAGTTCTGCTGTGCTGGAAAAGCTATACGATTCCACATTTACTTGCTCGGTGCCCCCATCTGGTACACATGGCATTGTCTAGTCCACTCACTTTTGAGCTCTAGGCCATGAGTGGGTGGGAGGCGGAAACAGCCAGCCACCACAGGAAGATGCCCAGGCCTGCACCTGCCTGCCCGCCTGGGAGCAGATACTGATACTGGGGAGAGGAAGGAAGCTGAGATGATAGATGCTGACTTCCTGTTGGATCTGGAGTACAAACAAATGGTCATATTCCAGCATGTTCTGGGGCACAACTGACAGACACAGGCACCGCGCTGGTGTTCACATACTGACTTGGCTCTGAGGAACAGCCTGCATGAGAAGAGTGTGCGTGCTGGGGGTGCAGACAGCTGAAGTATGAGGGAAAGGCTGGCGGTTCCAAATACACCATGCATGATTTGCAGACACCTCTCAGCACAGTCTAGCTGGGAAGCAAACAGTGTCAATATTTGGGGGAACACAAAGACTTAACTTGAAACATGTTGTATTAAGGGATGACCCTTTTAATGTTTTTCTGTGTCCACTCTGCTTTGCTTGCATGCATTTTGCCTTCAGAAAACAGAGTCAATAGCTGTGCAGAGTTGAGAAAAAACTTCCTCAGGTGTTCCCTCTGCGTTTATCTATATTTAAAAAGAAAAAAGAAAAAGCCTGTTAAGCAACATTTGTAAGTAAGATAATTTTTATTGAAAATTAAAAAAGATTATCTCCTTACCTGCTCTGAAAAATTTTAAAATACAAGATCCCTGAAAATCATAGAGAAAAATGTGATGAGTTGTGTTTAAAAACTAGGTGTCTTAAGAGCCAGCAAAAGGCACGGAGATTAAGGCACTGGATTCCTCATGGCCAACAGTGCAGTCTGAATCTTGAACCCAGTGGCTTGAAAATCCCGCTGAGTGTGTGTGGAAAATAGAGGGAAAGGGATTGTGGCATAGCACCCTCCGACACACACACACACACACACACACACACACTGAAGGTGTATGTACTCTATAGCAAAAACTTCAAAAAACAAAAAGCCAGCCGGCAGGTGGCATGGTGGTTAAAGGTGCTGGACTCCCACATGGCTGACCGTGGTTCAAGTCCTGAATCTGGTGGCTTGCTTTCTCACTTTCCCTCTCTCTATGTGTCTGTGTGATCAAACTGGAAAGTAACTAATAATAAAATAAAATTATTAAAAAAAAAAGAAAGCACATGTTTTAAAATAGCCCAAATCCAAATAACTGACAGTACTACCCTGGTGAGGGTGTGGGGCAACACAAAGTATTACTGGTGGTAATGCAAAAATGGTCGTCGCTTAAGACATTGCAGTTTCTTAAACACTGTACTTTTCTCCTTTTTAATTTTGCCAGAGGACGTGTGCTCTTGCTGGAGGGGGTGTGATAAGGCATTCACCAAGGGGAACGGTCACACTACAGTCTCTCCTCTTTCTCCCTCTTCTTGGAATTTTGGGCATGTGTGCACACACGCCAACGTGTTCTCAAGCCGCCCGGTCCAGGACTTGAACTGTGCTGTCAGCCATGTGGGGTTTAGCCACCTTAACTTCCGTGCCACCAGCTGGTCTCTAAATGTATTCCTACCCTATGATCAAGCAGTTGCACTCCTCGGTATTTACTCAAATGAGCTGCAAATTTATATCACATAAAAGCCTGCACATAAATATTTATAGCAGTTCAATGTACAGTTGACCAAACTTGGAAGTAACCATGATGCCCTTCAGTATTTGGGTTTATGGAACCTTTGCATGACAGAGAGAAAAATGTGCACCTTCTCCAGGGTCTAGTCATGACGCGAGTCCTCCAGTCCACTGGATCCTGGGCACTCACGCGCAAGCCTCATGTATTTCAGGCTCACCACGCTAAGAATGTGAGCTGTAGTCACCAAGGGGGACCCAGCTTCTCTTGAGCAGGGCATTCCCTCTGTGCCCTGCTCATGGGGCTGGTCCTTGTCCATCAGTATTTGATGGCTAAATGTACATCCAAACAATGGAGTATTATTCAGTCCTAAAATGAGCTACCAAGTCATGAAAAGACATGGAAGAACTTAAATGCCTGTTTTAGGCGACCGAAGTCAATAACGTGTCGTTTCAACTATCTGACATTCTGGAAAGTCAAAACTGTGGAGACGGTAAGAGATTAGTGGCTGCCAGGAGTTGAGGGAGAGGAACTGGTGGACTCATCCTCACACATTGGTCCAAATTCCTAGAATGTCAAGAGCGACCCCCGATGTGAACCGTGGACTTTGGTGGTCAGTTCATCTGTTGTGACTGTGCGGGGTGGGGGTGGGAGGCTGCGTCCTGGTTGGGACGTGAAGTCACGAGGAGGGAGGTTCATTAGATGCCAACAACAATGGTGAAAACATTGAAGCCTGGTGATTCACAAGGAGGGAGTTTGTGCCGGGGGCAGTTAGTGAGGTGTTGAAAGCCTCATCTCCGTAGGGTTTCATGGTATGTTTGGGCTGGGCTTTCTATTCTGAGTGTTTAACAATTTCCGCAGATGGTTTCATTGTGAGCCATCTTGGACCACACTTTGAGAAGCACTTGATTTTTTTTTTAAATAATCATTTTTTAATTTAATTTTATTTATTTATTCATTATTCTTAATTTGAGCAGAGAAATACAGAGAGAGATAGAGAAGGGAAAACTGAGAAAGCAAGCCACCAAGTCCAGGACTCAAACCATCGTCAGCCATATGGGAATGTCTAGCACCTTAGCCATCACGCCACCTGCTGGTCCCAGAGAAGCACTTGATGTTTAACTACCTAGATCTTTGTGCAAACTAGTTTAAATTTTGCAAACCCTAGGGACTTCATTGATTCCAAAAGTAGACTAAATTCTCAAAAGAAAAGAGGGATAACCTTCCATATTTAAATGCCCCAGAAAATGGATATAACAATGTTAATAGAAGTGTTGTGGGACCAGCAGTTGGGCGTAATGGCTGTGCTGTTGAACTCCCATGTAGTCGACCATGGTTCAAGGCCCGGACCCAGTGGATTAAACCCATGTTGGGCGCGTGTGCGTGCGTGCTTAAGATCCCAAGGGGAGAATGGAGGAGATAGGACTGTGGTGTGACCATCCGCCCAGGGGGTGATTTCTCGCTTTCTGTCTCTCTCTGTCTTTCTGGTGAGTGCATGCACCCTATAGCAAAAACCTCTCCCCAAAAGAGAAGAAAAGAAAAAGAAAGAAAGAAATGTTGTTTATAATGGCTCCAAACTGGAAAAAACCCAAGTGTCCACCCCCAGTGGACAGATAAACAAACTGCAGCACAGTCCATAATGGAATGCTACAGTAATAGTAACAAGAACACAGCTAGAATCAACAACATGGATTAATCACACAGAGTTGAGGGAAAAGAGCAGTTCTCATATGAATACAGTATGACCCAATTTACATAAAGTTCAAAAACAATGCTAACTTAATATTGGTTAGAAATCCATAAGGGATGGGGCCGGCAGGTAGTGTAGTGGTTAAGGGCACTACACTGCAACATGGTTGATCATGGTTCGAGTCTCAGACCCGGCAGCTTGCTTCCTCACTTTACCTCTCTCTCCTTCCCTCTCTCACTC